TTCAAAACCCAGGCAATGCTTACAAAACAAGGATTCAATTTCGAGCTGGAATGAACACAACCTTCATTGCTGATTTATGACTTAGTGACAGCTACTGAAATAACTTGCATCTTGGAGTTGGATCGCGTAACTGGAAAACACCGCACTTTTTCAAAGCATTTATTTATTGGAGATTTCGCAATATATATCTTTAGTTGGAGCAAAGTTTAAGGTTTCAATAAAATATCGCATATACAAATGTCTGATATGATCTCCACGTGCTCGCTTGGAGATAGAGTGGTTATATGGTCGATCAAAAGGCAATAACATCCATGACGGGAACGTCATCCAGGGACCAACAGAGGTATGGCCCTATGCGCCAACTTGGCGCCAGGGGACAGGTGAAGAACAGGTGAACAGAGGTATACAATAGGGGCCCTATAAAAGTGCTTTAATTTAAAAAAAATGAGAACCTATTGAAACGAATAGTTGCTTGTCGCACTACAAGGAGGTTCGGGTACGGACTAGCATTTGCTAGAGTGGGAAGCGAATGTTTAGCTCGGTTTGGAGCAAGAATGAAAACTTTATTTTAACAACAATTTTAAGGCTAATGTCTCGTTCACAAATGACTAACAATTGAACAGTGGCCTATTCTGTACTAGAAACCCATTTTTATATAAAACTTGTACCTCCCTTATATTACTTTTCCATACTTGGAAATAACTCGAAGCGTGACTCATGCTGTTCTCCTTCGGAGCCGTTACTTGGGTGTAACGCAATTGCAACGCTTCTCCAAATAACGGTCCAGAAGGTACTATTGAACTGCAATTCCTTGCTGAGAACAAGTCAAATTTATTACATTACTTTAAAAATAGCCAAAAACAGTTCATACTGAACCCAGCATGACTTGAGCTCACAGCTTACACAAAATTGACACTATAAAAAATTTGTGCACGTTTCTAGGAACATTAAGTTATACAAAGACCAAGAGTACTAGGTCACGCAATTTTTACAAGTGCTCTGAAATCAAATTGAACTTTACAATAACTGACATAAATTATTGAAAAGAACGCAGACATTACGCGAAAATACAGCGCCTCAGTTGGGGGCACACCACATACGCTCTAAAACAATTCTGTAAATTTTAATTTCTGAAATCGGCCTTTATATTTATGACGCCTACCAAAAAATTGACTCCAATTGACTCTACATTTTGTTTTGGGGGTACGTTTTGGAGTATGCAATTTAAAAAATAGCTGCTATTTCATTATTATGCATCCTCGTTGTGCCATGGGACGCGTGAGGCCTCTACTGCGATGTAGTCCTGTTAAAA